AAACCCAACCCTAGACCCTGGACTTCGGACACCTGGGTGAGGCTGGGTGCTGTTTATAAAGAACTTGCTATGTTAAAGTTGTCATTGTCCAGAGGACAGGGTGACCGCAGAGACTAATGTAGTAGCAATGAGCGGTGGCACCTCTGACAGATAAGGGTGGGGCCGATCACAGCAGACAGGACTGGCTGCTGTCACTGGTATTGGGGGTGGCCCGGCGCTGGGAACAGTGTGTCCAGGGCCGGGAACAGCCCCAGAGTGAGGCGAGAGGCTCTGGGACCTGGTTTCTATTCGGCTTGGGTCGAAGTCACGTGACTTTGGGTTTTAAAAAACATCCAAAGAACTAAGCTCACAGGTAAAAATAGACCTATAATCAAAAGAAGAGCCAAAGATTTGAACAAAACCTGAATATATACCGATGCTATGTTCCACCGGGAACGCATGCGTTGACTCGGGGCTCCCCCAGATCCCAGCAGGTGCTCACTCTGGTTTTGCCCCAAAGTTGAACAAATGTCTTTTATTTCACGGCAAATCTCACGCTTTTGGCCAAAGGCTTTCTTGGGACTTACAGTGACGACAGAAGTCCCCTCAGCTCTCCCACGGGGCTGTTCCTGCAGCAGAGCCTCTCGGGCCAAGGGAGGTCTCTCCCCACGTTTCCTAGACTCGCGGTGCTGCGTCTTCTTATTTTAAGGCAAATTCCAAAGAGAACAAAATGAAAAAAAAAGAGCGACCTGCGCTTACCTGTGAAGCTTCAGGTTATACTTTCCCCGTCTCATCGGACGACCCGTTACCCTCCTTGTCTCAGACAAGTCGGTTGCAATTTGCGTTAAAATCCTCAGCGTGGTCATTAAACACCGCAGCCGGGCCTCAGTCGCAGCTCGTCCCTTTTCAAGGAGATCTTGTTCCTTTGCGCAGAAACATTTAAAAGCTCATTTAAACAAACGTCGTGTTTCCAACGACAGATTTAGAAGCAGAGGCCGCAGGTGGTCTAAGCGTGTGGGTGGTGTTTCCGCCTGCTGGGCCCCGGCCCTTCCCTTAGAGGCCTTGGCTGCTCTCCCAGTGGACGTGGCAGGAAAGGACCCTGAGCAGGGAGTTTGGCCAGCGGGTGTCACAGAGCTCCGGGAGCTGTGAGGCCCCTCCCCGGGGACTGTGTATGTCAAATAGGTGGGTCCTCAAAACCAGATTTAGGGCCCTCCCTTCACAGAGCAAATGTGCGGACCCAGGTGGGTGGCAGGGGACCTCGGAGGATCTTTCCTGTTTGGACACCATGACCTTTCCTGTTTGGACCGCGTCGTGCTGGATGAGAGTGATAGGACCACCCTGAGCTTCCGATTCCCTGGGGGTCGTGAGAGCATCGCCGACACCTTATACGGAGGCCATGGGCACCAGAGAGGGCCTGTGTCAGGTGCTCCGGCCGTGCCTGGTGCATAGTAGGTCTTCCGTCGTAGGAAGCAAAACGGATGGCTTTGCAGTGCCGTTGAGGCTTTCCTGCCCGGATGAGAGGTCACCAAGGACTTCTGAGATCCTTACTAAAAACCAGCGTCACGTCTAAGGTCATTAATAAAAAGGCGAGTCACAGCAGGGCCCTGGCTGCATACGGTGCATGAAGATGCTCGGGACTCACCCCAGGGACTTCGGAGATGCCTCTTTGTGCCGTTCCGAGCAGTAGCCGCGCCTGGCTCCTGAGAAGCTGAATTCTGAATTTCATCAGAATTAGACTTGAAAACCACACGGGGCGACGGCTGCCGCCTCAGCTCAGCCGAAGAACGACACCCACGGCTGGAATTCAACCTGGGCCGCCCAGGCCCCAGCACCGCCTCTCCTATTCGAGGCCCGATTTTTTAATCTAACGATAACGCAGCAGAAAAGGGTGTGAGTGGCCTTGCAGAGAGGGCGCCTGGGTTTCATGTCCCCCGCCCCCACCTGCGCCACCCAGTTTCTATTAAATCGCCTTGGGATTGGATCCTCCTTGGAGAGCTAGCCCTGCGGCCGATCCTCTGTGGTGTTTGACAAAGGCCTGCTGGGTTTTCTTTTATCTCAATGCAGCACATTTTAACTCGCTCCAGCAGCAGGCAGGGTCTTCGCTGCACAGGGAGCTTTGCCAGGAGAATTACAAAGCGTGTGAGCGGCTGTGTCTTGGGACAGCTGTGAAGGCCCCTTTGTCACGCCCGTCTCCGGTGAAGCGAGCGGCTGCGGCTGGGGGGCCTGGGACCGCCCGCCCCAAACCGAATCCATTTCTGCCCGTCGGACAGATGCGTCCAAACGCCGGGGGTCGCGCGGAACAGCAGGCAGCAGCCCTGATTTCCGCCGGGGTGTGAGGCGCTCGTGGGTGAAGCACGCGGACTGCCTCGCGCCGGCCGGGAGCACGCTCGCCCCTTGCTCGCCCGGCTGGGTGAGGCTCGGACCCCACCCCGTGCGTGGGCCCCGGGCCCCTCTGCAGTGTCAGCCCAGGAGGGCCCTGCTGGCCCAATGGAGGCAGGTGGACAGAGGGAGCCTGAGGAACCGCCGCCGATCTATTTATTCTCTGGACCGAGACGTTCATTTCCAAAAGGAAGTGTCCTTTTTTTAAAAAAAACAAATGCTGAATGACAGTGTTTTATTGTCTAAATTGCCAGATTTGGGGGGGATGGGAGAGTAGAAACCGGAAGCATTGCGACCGGTACCTTGAATAAAAGTGTAGAAAGCGCCCCCCCCCC